ACATTATGTGCAAGTGGGTCTTCGTGCGAAAAAGATGAAATTACACGATATAAAACCCAACTTGTTGCACAAGGTTTTTCTCAAAGACCTGGAATTAATTAGAAAGAAAAAAAAATATCTCCGGTCATGAATGCAATTATATTCAGGTACTTAATGAGCCTAACAGTCCCTAATAATTTAGAAATGTACCTTATGGATGTAGTGAAAACATATTTATATGGATCATTGGACAACGATATACATATGGGAATCCTAGAAAGATTTAAAGTTCCTAAGACATTAGACTTAAAGTCTAATGAAATATATGCGTCAAATTACAGCGATCACTTTACGGATTAAAATAATCCGGACGCATGTGGTATAATCGCTTAAGCGATTGTTTTTAAAGAAAGGGTATATCTGTTAATAACGATATATGCCCTTTGCGTCTTTATTAAGATATCTCTATCGTGATTTGTGATCATTGCTGTATATATTGATGACCTAAATTGGAACTCAAAAAGTGTGATTAAATATCACTTAAAATTTATGTAAAGAAAGAAAAACTTATTCAAGCACTGCATGCATGCGTCCACATTCCAGAGGTAACATTGAATTTATATTGAATTTATTTGAGTTTATTTAAATTCATTTAAATTTTATATTATATACGGAGTTGAAGGTTATATACCTCCTCTTCCTTAACTCTGTAGTAGGCTAAGCCTCCAGAAGCATATGATTTTTGGCCAAATCACCATTTTTTTTAATAAGCTCATTGTATATGCTGGTTGATTTCCTCAATAATCCCCAAAATAAGTCCTGAATATAACCGATCTAAAAATAAGATTCGGTCCAAGATAAATAGGCTTGGAAAGCCATCATCTTGGGAGGGGTAAATTACAAGTCCCACATTTTTATAAGGATCTAAGAATAAATACATGATCCGTATCGGATATGTTGTTGATCCTAAAGTGGGATTCGGTTCGAGATGAATGAATTCGAAGAGTTATCATCTCGAGGGGTAGAATTAAAAGAATCCCACATCGACAATAAGTAGATAAATTTTGGTGAATTTGACACCTAGAGCGAAATTACTCTGATGAAGTCATATCCTAAAATTTATCACTTTTTGATAAAGTGGAACATCTAAAAATGATGTTCACTCTCAAAATGAGCTTTAAGCGAATCGTTCATAACGCAAATCCAAGAGATTGCAAAACGATTCATGGGGATTTAAACTCAATGTTTTTATATGGAACATGCAGTTTTGCATGTAGTAATGATTATATATAAGGCCAACGAGTTATAAGAAATATTCTCTCATGTTATATATACATGATCGGAGATCAAATATTTCTCATTTTGAGTTTTATGGGTGTGAGATATATGTTATAAATGTTCTTCTGCACCGCATAAAAATATCTTCCAAAAAAAGATGAAATATATAGATGCAGGAAATGAGTATATGCTCTACAAATACTAAGCCATCTTATGAGAGATGTGCATATTGCAAGATTTGCGAATCATCATGTTGATGATAAAATTCTCCATCATTATGGGAGAATCGTTGAATAGTTCAGATCTTTGAACAAATGACTATAATAAATATGAACTTAAGAGTTCAAAAGTTCAAATAGATCACTATTCATAATAAATTGCAAATCAAATACAACAAGCTGATGGATGAGATTTCATGAAATTATTGATCCTCGTATAAATGCATATGAACTAAAAGTTCATAGAAAATCTCTCGTCCCAGCTAAAAATGCTCTACAAAAGTATGTCTCTGGCGGATGACATATTATTATCTATAATACGATAAAAATGTGATAGAACTTTGGTTCCAAATATAAAGAAAATCTTCGAAAATTATAAAGGAGCATATTATTATTAAAAAGAGGATTTCACTCTTAAAAGAAGAGCATCTAGACTTCTAAAGAGGAGTATAGAGACTCCTCAAGAGGAGCAAAGAGACTCCTAAAGAGGAGTAAAAATACCGATTGTCATGATTAATAACGAAATCAGATACCTGAATAAAATCATTAATAATGATTAAGAGATCTCGATTAACCATGTCATTACGGCAAATACGGAACCAAAGAAAACATAATGTCAACAAGAAAAATGATTTAGCGCGCAAATGTAATTAATGAGGGTCATGAATCTCCGCTCTGTGAGCGTAAAGAGATATATATTGGCCAATAAACAAAGAGGCAGCCAAGTCTATATTAATCTCGTATAAGAAACGAGTAATTCGTGGACACATGGTCCAAGCATCAAAAGAGTATTATGATACTTAAGACAAAACGGTGTGTCGCACCGGGTTTTGTCAAAATCACTCGATATTGATTTGATGAAATGTCTGAAGGACTAATCCTAAAATATATGATATCATAGTTATATTCCCGGGAACTTATAAGCATGATGTTTTTGAACATCATCAAAACTCTTGAAGAGTTATTTGGAATAAAAGATCTTGGAAAGACAAAAGTGTCTCCAGATATTCCAACTAAACATCCAAAGAAAGAGATGTTATATTAGTCACTTCTAAAGGAAGTCGACTCTATATATTTGATCATGAAGCACTATATATAAATGCTGACGAGTATTTATATATTTTGTGAATTGTAGCTAGCATATATAAATGCTAGCGAGCATTAATATATCTGGTGAATATATTGTATCTAGCATATTCTATTGATCTACTTGCATGATTAATTTATTTCCTCCGACTAGACATTGAATGAGTTCAAATGTGTCTTCCATTATCTGCAAGGTACGTTTGACTTGGGCTTATTTTATTTTAGAAACCCCGAGTTTGGTTTAGTTGGTTTTGCAGATGGATGATTTATATAAATATATATCGCAAAACAACAACTACGTGGCGTTTCCAACAACAAATTTTGGTCGTCGCTTGCTCAAGCCATGACAAAATTATTGCGCTCCATGAACCATGTCGAGAATCTGTATGGCTCAGATTGATGCACTCAACATATACAAGAAGCAAGCAATATAGGCACCAGTGAAGAGCCAACAACAAGAAATTGTTGCAAATGTTTCCCAATTCAAAGGAAGCTACGTCAAGAGCGAGATGGCAAGACATATTTCTCCAAGATTCTTCTCTTGCATTCAAGAATCTGAAAAAGGCAAGAAGTTGATGTCCAGTACATCCGGCAAAGTAACAATGTAGCAGATTTACAAAGGCGCTTCCTGCTACAACATTCAGAAAGCATCTGCACAAATCGAAATGCGTCTTTTGAAGAAGATACTTCTAAGGGGAGTCATATGATGATGAGCGTGTCTGCACTCTTTTTCTCTTATCATGGTTTTTATCCCACTGGGTTTTTCTATGATAAGGTTTTTAACGAGGCAGCAAATAACACGCAAAAGATAGACATCAAAGTGAAGGTCTATCTCTCTTCAAAAATCTTTGTCATACATTGACGAGATCAGAAGAAGCGAAGAGAATGATCGAGATGCATCATCTACGAATCCTATGAAGAGAACAAGACTCGTCTATTTCAGGGGGAGATTGTGTTACTGTACTCTTTTCCTTTATCATGGTTTTTATCCTATACGGTTTTCCATGATAAAGTTTTTAACGAGGCAGTACACAATACATTAATGATGATGGATAATTAAGGGAGAATGTTATAAAACTAGGATATGACCCGCGGTAAACCGCGGGTTAATTTTTTTTTTTTTGTAATTTTGTTATAAACCGATGAATTTGATGTATTAATTTTTTCTGTTTTATTGGTACCATAACGTAAGTTTGATTCTATAGGATTTTTAATAAGATGTAACTCTATGATATTTTTAAGTGTAATAGTATTTGGTTTTTATATGGTGATTTTACCTTGCGCTACACCTCGGGGTTTCATTGTGTAACTAAAAATTTAAATTTTTGTATTTGTTCTATTAATATTGTTTGTTATATTTTGTGTTTAATATTGTATAATTGTATTTTGATTGTTAATTATAGGATTTCACCTGTAGTATACTGTCATATATTAATATCAATCCAAACCCGTTCCGTCATATAATTCTGTCCCGTGATAATTATTACAACTGATCTTGGGCACAACTGAAGCATAACCAAGAACAAACTCCTATGTCTTATTGGTATGTGATTTTAGTTGTATTTTATTGTTAATTTTAGAATAACAATATATATATATATATATATATATATGTGTGTGTGTGTGTGTTTTGTTAATGTACTTTAGTTGTTATTATGTTAAATTATAGGATTCAACCCGTGGTACACCGCATGTCTAGGTATTTATTTGGATTTTCATATTACAATTTTCAAAATTTATATATTGTATTTTTTCACAAAATGATTATAGGTTTTTCTGTTGATTTTTTATTAGTTAGTAGAAGGAATACCCTTGTAACTCACGTATATATAGTTGTTTTATTTACGGGTTAAAAGTGTTAATTGGTATTAAATATTTATTTTAATTGTATATTTTTATTTAAAGCTGAATAATTTGTTGTATTCTTTTGATGATTTATTTAGTGTTTGCACGTAAGTTTGATTATTTACGATTTATTAGTTACATATATATTTGTTCTATTGTAAGCATTTGTATTTTATATTGTGAGTCGGGTCATAGTTTAAGTGAATATATCTTTACTTCAAATCTCAAATATTTAAAAGTTGTTTGGTGTATTTAAATTATATGGTAGGATAAAAATGTATATTGCGTAGCATATTTTGTGTTAACATGAGTTATTGGTACAATTCTTTTATCAATTTATGTAAAATGAGATTATACCGTTATAATATTTTATGTTGGCAAATAAAATTAATTAGAATAAGGAAAAACAATAATAATCTTGTTGAAAAGCAAAAGGAAAGTAACCAATTTATAAGGAAAGATATTAAATTAATTTGTTTTGTTTATTCTTTATATTATTAATTTACCATGTAATTTTTTTGTAATATATCAAATGAGCTTTTATTGTTTTATACAGATAAAAATACTAAAAATACTAAAATTTCTAGAACAAAAAATAGGTTGTAACATAGTGAATATAAATTGGACAAAGCATTGTGAGAGTGACAAATTTATTGTTGTTTCAACAGGCCCATAAAATAAACTCAGAATCAGAATAAAACATGTCTAATTTCACATTACAGGCCCAAGCCCAACGACTCATCCTCTCCATTACATGATTTGTCGACAAACAGAGTTCCCAATCTGAGAAACACTATCATCAATTTTCACCGTCAAAATCTATCTGATGCAAATCGGAATTGTGTGTTTTATGTCAAACTCGATAATTGAGTTGATCATCACGACGATTTTGAAGAGGCCATCAATCTCGAACTACTAATCAGGTAAATTGATCTGGATTTAAGGTTGTTGGAGAGATATCTCTCATGTCCAATGGTTATTTCTGTAACGATTAGGTTTCTTCTTCCTTTCGCATAGACTTCATTGATGGCTATAATTTTAGCTTGTTTATGAAATAGTAGTGAATTTGGATTGATTTAATCTGAGGGCAATTCCGATTGTGAAACAGCTGTTGTTAAAGGAAATGACATTGATTACCCGTTTTCTTCTAACTATAGAAGGAGACGAAAACATCGATTATCTAAATCCGGGAAAGAATTATTCGAATTCGATGCGTGGCCAAAAACACATAAATCATCATTCTAGAAGGTTAGTTTCTCAGACTTTTTTTTAGATCACAATATTTATTTGGTTTGATCGATTAGGACTGAATCTATACTTATGTGTATGCGTTTGAATAGAGTAAAAATAGTTATGTAATTGTAAAGTATGTTAATTTATACAAAATCATAGTTTCTTTGAACTAAATCTGAGTTAAATCTTTTAGCAGCTTTTGATGATCCTCTTCCTATAGTGAACTGCGAGGGAGATTTTGTGAAAAGAGTTGAATCATTGTATTGGATGGGAAATAACTCTACAAAGCTTGAAAATGGCAGAACTCCACATTGTTGGACTTTTTTCAGTAGTAAACAAAGTTCTTCAGGTTAGTTTCTTCAAAGCTATACAAAATAATGTCAAAATATAGAAATAAAATGGTTTTCCTTCTTCTTTTTCTCACAGGAAAACATCCCAACAGTAACGGCATAGAAAGTTAGAGCTGGGATGCTTCAAGGTGTGGAAATCGCATTGGGGTTGCCTGAAGGCTCGATTCCTAAACCCGTTTATACACGTCTCATTGACTATTGAGACATTGTCAAAAAAAAAAAAAAGGTATTAGTCGTTTGCTGTGAATTGCTTGATGAGTTAGAAATGATAGAGAGGTTTGATATTTATAGTGAAGTATAATGTTAGGGTTTTTGGCTCGAAAATCTTGGAGCCGAAGCAAAAAATATTGGATATATTAACTATCATATCTTCTTGATTGATATGAAAATGAATGATTCACGAATTTATGGAAAATTAGTATATTGAGTAGTAGTTTATGGTTAGGATTAGATTAGATCATATATTTGAGAAGATTTGTTTAGTAATTAGTCGAGATTTAGAGAATATAATTAGGCAAGATTTTGGTTAATTAAATGTTTGGATTTAATATAGAGATTAGCAAATAAGGAATTATCCGATTCAAAAGATTTCGGGTCAAAACATCAAATATGGGAGGATCAGAATCAAAGATTTCCGGATCAAAAAATTGAAAAAACCCAACCCGATTAGGTACCCCAAAAAGTGCTGCAAAAATGTATAGTAGATAGATAATTACAAAAGTGATTATCCATCACTTATCTCTATCCATCTAATATTGGATTATGCTCATCTTGTAATTACTTCCTCTCCAAGTTTTCTATACTATATATATGTGGTACGGCAGAAGCAATAATAAGAAGAAGGAAGAGAGGTAGAAGCAAAAAGCTTAACACTTTATTCTCTCGTCTCTCTCCACTTTATCTCATCTTTTGTTTATTTTATATACATATATATTTATATACATTATCGTTTATAACAGTTAACTCTTACTAAGTTGATGTTTTAAATGACATTATTTCCTATCTATTGTCTATTGTTATTTTATTTTATTTTTTATTCATATTTGATTCAAGGTTTTCTAATACATGAAAAAAATAAAACACAAGGGTCCAAAGAAGTCCAATTTTTTAATTTAAAGCTCAAAACACATACTATATATTGGAACCTAATTTTTTAAGTCAACTCAAGGAGAAGAAGATGGTCTTGTCTCAGGCCTAGGCCTAGGCAAAAAAACCGGTTCGGAGCGGGTACGGATAAGAGGAAATTATCTCATTAGATACAGTTTTTGTAAATTCGTGGATATCGGGTCAGTCCGGGTATTACCCGTTACCCAAACAGGGTATCCGAGTATCCGAACATATAATTAAATATCCAAAATATTAATTATATATAATTTTAATATAATTTAATTATCTAGAATTATAATTATAAATCTAAATATGACAATTAACTTTAGACTTAAATACCCCAAACAACCAAACTATCCAAAAATTATTTGTTATGTTTGTCAAAAATTTAGCAAAAATGTATTCAAATATAACTAAATTTATTAAAATTTAACAAATTTTTAATGTTTTTTTTGGGTACCCGATATTTTACGTACAAAATCCGACATTTTACATATAAAATACCATAACCGAACGGGTACCCATATTTTTCGGGTATTTATAGGGTCTAAATTTTTCTATCCGAACCGACCCGAACACGACGATATCCGAACCGGATCGGAACCAAATGTTTAGAAATACCCGAATGGATCGTAAATTTATTACCTATTTAACCCAAATCCAAACGGGTTTTACCCGAACCGAACGGGTTACCCATATGCCCAGGCATACTCAGGCCCATAGAAGATAGAAATGATTAAACTGGTCCAGTCACACAAAATTGCTAATCTCGTCACTTTAATATTTATTATCAGTCAAATTATCCAAAATTGTGACCATCTCCGTCGTCGATTTCTTCGTATTCCGGTGGCTGAGGAGGTTACTTTCTCATATTCTCCCTCTTTTGTTTTCCCTGTTCGAGCGGATCTCTCTTTTCTTTTACCAATTCGTTTCTTTGTTCATTGATTTTTAATACCCTGATTCATTTTTGCTTTGTCTTTTCTGTGATTCAAGCTGTTTCCTTTTACGTTGTGGGATCCTTAACGTGTGTATTATTTTGGTATTTTTGAAGTGATCTTAGTTATTTTTCTCACTGTGAAGGCAAAAACTGTACAAACCAATTGTAACTTGTAGTTTGGTTTGGTTTGTGTTTATCTTATATGACTGTGACAAATCGATTTATATATGGAATTGCTAAATAAAAGTTGAAGATATGTGGCTCTGTTAGTTAATTATTATTAGTTTTGATTGTGCAGCATTG